GCATTAATTAACATAAAATCACATTATGAGAAAGTTATCTTTTCAGTCCCTTCTCTCTCAATTCTTACTGAGGTAGTCACAGTTTGGTGCTAGTTTAAAGACAGTATATTGTGGTTACAGCATGATTTGAGCTATTCTATTCCATTTGAATCCTTGCTTGGAAAGTGTTTTGACACCTAATAAGTGTTATTTAAGTGTTTGCTGTAATTACCAGTACTTCTCACACTTCTTTAACATTTGCTAATTTCCTTTTGAAACAGAGAGAAAGCAGGCCTCAGGCACAAAACTTAAGACACAATACTACCTTGCTGGAACATGTAGTAGCATTATACTGTCATTATCTTCCTTTTATGGTTACCTTCTACTGTTACTGAGAACTACTTTTGCAGAAGCACGTGTTCTGTACCATAGCCTCACCATGCCCATTTTAATGGTGAAGAAAGAGACTTGCTCAGCATCGCAAAGCTAGCAAGTGGAGAACCCCATTGTTTGGGCAGCAAATTGATGCTAAGAAACAGGTTGTCTTTGCCAGTAATGTATTTAACACAGGTTCATTGAGGGAATTATAACAGTTCCACAGGCCAATAGCAACAGGATAATATCTATATAAATAAAAGCCTAAGCAACCGTTTGACTGTTCGACTGGTAGCTATGATGCACACTGACCACCTGGGGGCAGATGTTCAATGCACAGGCATGGAAACATGGAACAGACTAATGAATCTCAGAGGGAAGGGGGGAGGGCGGGAAGAGATTAACCAAAGATCTTATATGCATACTAGAGGCCCGGTGCATGGATTTGTGCACCAGTGGGGTCCCTCGGCCTGGCCTGTGGGGATCGGGCCGAAACCGGCAGTCTGATATCCCCCGAGGGGTCCTGCATTGCGAGAGGGCACAGGCTTCTAGTCTCCTAATAAGCCAATAAAGAAATAACATACTTTGAATGAAGTTACAATTTTTTTAGGCAAGAGGAATGTAAGGGAAATAAAGTCCAAATTCAGTGGAGATGCACCCTCCGAGCTGATGAGTGGGTTCTCAGAAGAGCCGCCGGGCAAAGAGAACGTTTCCTGTTGTTAGAGCATGTTGTTGGCAGTGATGGCACTGTGTCGGTGGGCAAGATCATCTCCTTCTTGGGGCTGCTGCATGGTTTTACCCCTCCTGGTAAAGAGTCATCTTACCATGGCAGAGCTAATGCCTGAGGTCTCTGGAGGGCTATGTAATGAGCAAAGAGTCCTCTTGCCCAGGCCGAACACTCTGGTGCGTCCTCATGAAGTCTTGTATTTAAAGGCTAAAGTCCTCTAGCTGTAGCTGCTTCCCCATGTTCTTACCCGTAGGCCCAGCAGTGCCCGCCATCAGCTGAGCTACTGCTTACCAATGACAGCATCCCGTCGCAGCTCCCGCAATGAAATTGCTTCCCTCTTAGATCAAAACTTCCTTTGAGTCATAAGCAAGTGGACTTGAAATATTAAACAGTGCCATGCTCCTTTCTCCTCAGCCACTCTCCCTCCACCCTCTTCCTCTTCCCATGCCCCCTGTCCTATGCAGTGCAGCTCAGTCAGTCACAGCAGGTCGCCTCCAGCCCCGTCCACCACTCACCGCTGCAACGAGAGCCTGTGTATTCAAGCCCCCGGGGAACCACTTAGGATTCAGGCAGGTGCCCAGGCGCAGGTGAAGCCATCTTTGAGTCTAGGCTGGGGCGCCAGTGGGTTAAATGGCGCTCAGGCCCATTCTGCAGTCATCAGCTGCTGGGGGTGGTTTCCCTCGGCGTGGGAAGATAGTATTTCGTCTTACGTTTTGTGCCTGAGGCCTGCTTTCTCTCTGTTTCAAAAGGAAATTAGCAAATGATGCCATTCTGTACCCTAAGAGAGTCGTGGCAACTCTGGTAACAGTTAAGGTCAATCCCTCACATGGACAGCAGTGATTGTGCTGGAAGCTCTTGCAAACCCCTGCCTGGCGCAGGCCTGACACGCCTTCCCGGCCTCTTCTCGTCGTGCTGCCCTGTACTTACTCCACTCCAACCACAGTGGGCACCTTTCCGTTCTTCAGACCCTCTGACCCCTCCCCTTCACGCCGCTGACGGGAGGGTGTGCTCCAAGCTATGCACAGGGCTGGCTCTTCTTAACCTCAAATCCTGGCCCAGAGGCTAAAGCGACCCCCTCATCCCCACCCTAGTCATTTTCTATTACATTTCCCTGCTCCGTCTTCTTAATAGAACGGTTCCTTTCTGAAATTATGTTCACTGACTTCGTTTCTTCCTTACTGTCCATCCACACACACTAGAATGTAAGCTCCAAGAAGGCGAGAACATTTCCATCTTGTTTTATTTATTATTTTTTAAATTCTCACCTGCGGATATTTTTCCATTGACTTTTAGACAGAGTGGAAGAGAGAGGGAAAGGCAGAGAGAAATATCAATGTGAGAGAAACAAATGGATTGGCTGCCTCCTGCAGGCGGCCCGACAGGGCCTGGGCGGGGAGGAGCCTGCAACTGAGGTACATGCCCTTGACCGGAGTCTAACCCGGGACCCTTTGGGCAGCAGGCCGATGCTCTATCCACTGAGCTACACCGGCTGGGGCTCCCTCTTGTCTTAGCACCTTGGTCCGTTGTAGCTCTAGCACCAGGAATGGTGCCTGGCTCAGAGTGGGGCTCACAGCACCCGGGGAAGGGAAGGGGGACAGTCCGGGCGGCTCAGCCTGGGGCGCTGGCCCGCCGCCGGCGCCCAGAAAGCGGCACCAAAGCTGCCTGCCCACCGGAGGGGCTTCAGCTCCACCGCCAGGCCCGCCGCCTGCTGAGCCTCGCGGTGGAGGTCGCAGGTGTCCCGCGTAACATTCTCGGGCTAGAAGGTCCCTCCCCTTCGGCTGTGGGCCCGGAGGGAGCCCGGGCGGGTGGCGAGCCTGTGGGGCTCTCGTTGGTCCTGCGCTGGAAACGGGACAAAAGGTGGGAACCTGGCGCCCTTGCCCAAGTCCAGGCCTTCCGCGTGCCCTG